AGATGTACAAAGAAGTCAAAAGTTTTCGTTAACACTTCCGTTCTCCAGGAAGTGCTGCCTTATCATCTGATAGGAGGGAGGAATTCTGGTCCTGTTCCCTCAGGTCCTCGTCATGTTAGCTTTTTGATAGCTTCAATCCACTCTGCTCGCTCAGCCTTGCTGCTGGCCTGGATGTAATAGTGTGTGTCATCCTTGGTAATCACTTTGAAGAGATTTCCCTGGACATTCCCTTTAACCCCTGGGCAGGAAAAAAATAAAAGTCAGTGATTACATTGCTGTGTCTGCTTTCAGCTTGGACCAGCTGAAAGTCAACTCTGTAGGCAGGGAGTCCCACCAGACACTGGCTTTCCCTTTTCCTCTCTCCCTGGCCAATGCCTTAGGGCTGGCATGCCCATGGTTGTATCTGCACTTCCCGGGAGCCTTCCTGCTGCCCTACACTAGCACAGATCTACAATTTCATTCAGAATCCAGTATGTTTATGTTAAAAGCAGACACAGAATTTGAACTTCAATTTCTACATCCATAAGGTGAAAATACTACTATTTTCCTACCATAGCTGGCTCCTGTGAAGTTATCGCAATAAACTAGAGTTAAACTTCATAGCATCAGGTGAGCCTGCTATTATTCTCAGGTGGGAGCTTATGCTATTATTCTTAGGTGGTTGATTGCACAGCAACCACAGGGACAGAATATTCAAGAATATTTAGTTGTACTCTTAAAACACTAAGAACTCCCCACATGCCCTTCTCTCTAGTCCTGCAATTGGCTTCAAAACATCATCTCAGTGAGAAAGCACTGCTCAGCTTCAAACGCTTAGTGGAGCATTACTGAGGTGTAGGAGGGAGGCCCCTGAGATCTTCAGGCCAGGGCTGAAGTTCTGCCTCACCAGTGGGAACACCATTATCCTCCAGAGCAGACACCAGTGAGCCACGAAGAGAAAACCCACCCACTGGTCTGTTGTCATCCTGCAAAGGAAAGGAGACCTAGTTAGGAATTTGTTAATGCACAAAAAGGAAGAGTTGTAGGCCAGGTGGCACAGTGATTAAGGTACTAGACTTCCACATGGCCGACTAAGGTTTGAGTCCTGGACCTGGCAGCTTGCTTTCTCACTTCCTCTCTCTGTCTTTCTGGTGAACACACATGCCCTATAGCAAATAAAACATTAATAATGGTAAATAGAATTAAATACTTTATTTTTTAAAAGGCAGGGGAGGAAGAGCCAGCTAAAGAAGTCAGTGCCAGTCATCTGCATTAGATGAGGAGGCTGAATGTGGAAGCCCATGGCCAAGATACAAGTGCCAGTAAAGCAGTCTGGCCTCTTCCTCTCACAGCCAGCACCAGCAGTGCCTACCAACGCTGCTGTTACCCAGTCAGGTGGACTTGAACATCAACCTGCTTTTCATCCCTGGGACGTCTCAAACAGGGCCTCTGCTCCAGCAGTCTGCCGGGAGACGTGTGCCCTGGCCTCCTTAACGTTTGGGCACATCTTACCAACCAATCAGGAAAAAGCCATGTGTAATGACCACTTCTCAGTTGATGTCCTCCTGCACAACGGACACCACCATACATGTCTCTAGTACGAGTCTGGCATAGAACAGTCTCGCGCAAATCAAAACTGGTCCTGTGGTATCTCAGGCTCAGAGCAATGTTACACACCAGGTGCCTCAGGCCCCTAGATCCCTTCCAGTAATCAATAATCAGCTTCATCTGCACAGTGAGCCCAGCAAGAGGCAGGGCAAAGACCATGAGATGTTTACACCATTAAATGCCAAAGGAGAACAAGTTCAGAGGAGGAAGAGACCCTAGCCTGGAGGGTTCTAGGGCAGCCTGAGGGAGGACAGGGGACTTGAACCAGGCCTTGAGAGGTAAGTTCTGGGAACAGGAGAGGGGCCTCTAGCCCAAGCAAGGCAAAGCCAGGGAGCAGATTAATGGCAGAACGTCTTTAGGACGGTAACTGGGCAGAAGTAGCCGACTCATCTAGGGTACAAAGAAGGTATGCTGGGTTGGACTGTGGTGAGAGTTAAAGGCAAACCTGAGTGGGTGTTTTTATTTTTATTTTTTTAGTTTTCCAGAGGACATGTGTGCTCAAGGGAAAAACAGCAAGAGAGAGAAAGAGTAAGCATTCTCCCATGGGGCACGATCCCATCACAATCCCTTCTCTTTTCTCTCTCTGGGCATTCACGCACACATGCCCAGTGTGTCTCTCAGGCTGCAGGGTCCAGGATTTGAACCACATGGTTAGCCGTGTGGTATCCAGCTCCCGCAACCACTAGGGCACAAGGCCAGCCACCTAAAGTGTTTATTTTATTCATGTGTTTGTTTATTTCTTACGTCAAAAAGAATTTGAGGAAGCCACAGGGAGTTTGAACTCTAGCCTGTAATCAAGCCGACATGACCCATGAAGAGGTCAACCAGTGCTTTGCGGTGGCCCCTGTGGTTGACCCCTCAGGCTGGCCCCGAGTCCTCCTTATGGCCTGGTAGAGCCCTCCTTTACTTCCTCTCAGCTTAGGTAGGGGTCCTAACTGAAGTTCAGTGAGATAGCAACTGCCCATTTCTCATTGTTTCAACATTACAAAATAAAAATCATACTCCACGAAGACAAGGCTGAGTACAGCCCAACTCACAGGCCATTTCCTTATCTCTCCACCTGAATGAGGTCGCCTCAGCATGTGGTGATACTTACCAGAAACCCAGATTAGCAACTCTTGGATCAATTTTTTTTAAGTTAGCCAATTACAGCATAAATATTATATAAGAGAAACTTTCGAAATGTAAGTGGGGACAAGAAGTTGAGGAGGAACAACAGATGGGTCAGTGCGTGGCTGTAGAAAAGGTTGGGCGACACCAATCAGAGCGTAACAGTCAGCTCAACCCCCACCCCAGATACAGAGGTGGCCCAAGGGGGGCTGGAAAGACACTTTCCTTTTGAAATGAGGGGCATCCACTCCCAATGGAAGTACTGGGGCAAGGGACAGAGAAGCCACTCCCTGAGCGGGCAGCTACGCCATGATGAGGGGAAGCAGTGTGCACATGAAGGAAGGGCACAGAGCCGGGGTGCAGCTGTCCTGCAGACACTGGAAAAGGAGGGGAGCTCAGCTGCAGGCTGCCTCACTGGGAGAGGGGCACCCGAAGCATCGAAGCACGGTACCCACCTTGGAAGGGTCATAGTAATGTAGGTAGGCCGGGTCCTTTCTCAGAACAAAGCGTCGCACCTTCCAGTTTTTCCTCTTGTGCCCCTGAGCAGAGAAAGGGTTCAAGATTGCCCCTAAGGCCAACCCCTCAACAAGCCCCGGCTCCAGTGGAACCACCCCCTAACAACAGTCTTTAGGAAACCCGAGGACTACAATGGTGTGTGACACAGGCTTCCTCTGACATCCTCCTCTGCTCATCGACGATTTAGCAAAAACACTGTCACATTCAGTCAACAGAACCAAGAGGAGGTGGTGCTAAAGGAAAGAGGTGCAGCACCCACACAGGAGACAGGGGAGGCAGCGGGTGTCACCTGGACCGGACGCCCACAGGCAAACCTGAACCCAGCTGATCCAGTCCAGAAACAAACCTACAGCTGCATGGAGGAGGAGTCTTCAAAAAGTTGAGGGAAAATGGAATTAAACTACAAGTTTATTTTGGTGCAAAAAAAGTAAAATCCATGCAGCCTATTCATAACACAAATTTTCCATGAAGCTTTTGTCTTTTTTTTTTTTTTTTTAAAGTTTTACTATAGGGCATGTATAATCGAGGGCTAGTAATAATTCACCCCCGAAGGAAGATGGCTGTGCCATGGTCCCCTCTTCCCCATCCTCCTCTCGAGATTTTGGGCACACATGCACACATGTGTGTGCGCGTGCACGCACACACACACACACACACACACACACCTGCATGTTTTTCAAGCCACTGAATCCGGGACTCCAGCCACAGAGTCAGCCATGTAGGGTCCAGTGTCTTAACCACCACACTACCTGCTGGCCTTCCATGAACTTTTTTGAAGACCAGACTCATCTATATGCACACATATATGTATACACTTTAACATTTTGTGTCAGAAAAGGAAATGGTTGGTTATGTGATAAAATCCTAATGTGGAAGATGTTAACAAGTGTGAGTGTGTGAGGGACCTCTGATCTCATGCTCTTGGATCACAGAACTTTGTCGGCCCTCTCCCCAACACTCTCACATGCTCTTCCAGGGGCCTGCCTCCCCCGCCTCACTAAGGAATCCTGTCAGGCCCAGCAGCAGCACGGCCCTTGGGGTGGATAGGCAGTGGCTGATAAACAATTTAAGAGCAGATTGGAATTCTGATACTCTGAAGCCATTAACATGCTCTGAGTCACTACGGGAATGGCTCTGAGCAGCGTGTATGCTCACTTTACAGACGTGTGTTCCCGTGGTAAGTATACAGTGTGCACGTGCATAGAGGTTGTGCAAAACATCCGCTTCTGCTTCCTGTGCCAGCACATGGCACCAGTGGAAAGGCCACAGAGACATTCTGCCTGCAGTTAGCCATGGCTGCTTTTCCAGACATGTTTGGAGGAGGGGCCGTGGTCAGTGTTTAAACATTGAGTATACATAGGGAACCAGCAGTTAGCGTAATGGCTATGTCGCTGGACTCCCACGTAGTCGACCGCGGTTCATGTCCCGGACCCGGTGGCTTAAAACTCACGCCGGGCACGTGTGCGTGCGTGCCCAAGATCCCGAGAGGAGAATGGAGGAGAAGGGATTGCGGCATGACCATCCCCCCTGGGGGGTGATTTCTCGCTTTCTGTCTCTATGTCTCTCTCTGTCTGTTTGGTGAGCGCACGCGCCCTACAGTGAAAATCTCTCCAAAAAAAAAAAACCAAAAAAAACAAAAAAAAAACATTGAGTATACGTATACGCTGCAGAATCTGACCTTCAACCTACCCACGGCTGGTGGAGAAAATTGGTTTTAGTTCAGAAAGTGTACCCAAGGGAGCGTACGGAGTCTCACAAAGAAAAGCAGAGACCCCAGGAAACCCCTGATAACCGAAGGGCAGCAAATGCCAACCATTGAATCTATCAGCAAAACGCCTCCTGATAAATACGTGCGACCGGGCAATTACACAGAGGACGTTCCTTAACGCTTGATGACTACGCATCTGTGCATTTTCCCCGAGCAACCCTAGTGTCTGGGCACGCGTGCATGAAAGTGGGGCCTGCAGGTTCTTTGACTTGCTCCCTGCAGCTGGCTCTGGGCTCCCACGTGCACAGGTTTCACTGCTAACTATTGCGTTACTGGGGTCTTGGCCTGGACTCCCCTCTGGGGTCATTCCTGTCTTCTCTGAGTTTGAGAACTGACCCCTCCTCCCTGTGCAAGGCAGACATACCTGCTTGGCCAGGTAGCCTTGTTTCACCACCATGCCGCTGAACTCCACAGAGCTGAAACTGATTTCTTCTTTGGGGCTTATCTTCTTCTTGTTGCTCTCGGCCTAGTGGGAAGGAGAGGGCAAGGACAGTTTTCAAAACAAACAAAACCCAGGCCTAGGCCATGGGGCTCCAAGAAGGAAAAGAACTTTCTCAGCACAGAAATCCCAGTCCACTTTGGGATGAAGCTGTCTCCTAAAACCTAGGCCTCTCCCCTAGCACCCTATCTGGCCTCTTCCTTCCCTGGTGGCAAGAGGAGCCCACTCCCTCACTTACAAAAGTGTACAGGGCCGTGGAATCATCCAGGAACTGCTCAGCCAGATCCCCAGATCGAATGGCTCCCATGCTTCGGGCCCCCACGGGCCTGAGGAAGTTCTCCTCCATGAGCATGGAAGCCAAGGTCACTGCCTCCAGACGGTTGGCCGCAAAGCTGTTGGAGATGAGCCAGTCCACCAGGGAGGAGCCTGTGCAGGGCAAGGGCCGCACCAGTCAGAAGGCGGCTCCAGACCAACCTCCTTGGGATGCTTCATCAACAACCCCACTGACCTCAGCCTCCTGGGCAGCCTGGGAGCTCAACCCAGGAGCAGACAGAAGGCCATGCCGCTGCACAGAGCTCAGCCACACCCACACGTGGCCATCTCAGACCAGGCTAATGCCCAGCAGGCAGCTCTGGCCTCAACACAGGCCACTCAACTGCACAGCCAAGCCCTGGATCACCATGTCCCCAGTCTCCCCACCCAGCCTGGCCCCTGGGAGGGGCAGGCTCACCTAGGAAGGTCTTCTTGTAGGTGCTGCCCTGCTCCATGTTGGGGCTGGAACGGATGCCACTGCTGCTGTCGTGCATCTTGTCCACGATGCGACTGTGGAAGGAAGGCAAAGGACAAGGACCTTTATCACATTGACAGGCACAGGGAGGGCCCAAGGATCGCTGCTAAGACAGCGAAGCAAGTGGCAAATGGTGTGATGCACAGCGCAAAGGAGGGGGTCGTCAGGTTCTGAACTGGAAAGGCAGGATTTCCAGAGCGTGCTTTCCTCCCCCTTGGTAGCTCAGTGCTCTAGTGTTTGTACGCCAGGCAGTGTGACTTCTGCAGTAAGACAGAAGGCCTGTGGTGGCTAGCTTAAAAATTAGAGCACAGGGACTCTCTGTGACCTGCCACCTTAAGCCTAACTCAGCTAATTCTTGAAGTCACCATCTTTGAATGCACCCACCTACCTGCCAGGTCCCTGCTTCTCCTCCCTGCTTTCACCATAGCCTAGCTCCCCTAGACCCACGGAGAGTACACAGTCACCGTGTCGGGGCCTGGAGATCCTAGGAACCACAACTTTGGGTGAGAGCAGTTCCGCTGCCTACAGGGGGTCATTTCCCTGGCAGGAACTCCTTTCATGCCTCCCTGTTCACTGCCCTCCACCACCGACTAGTGTCCCTTCTGTTCCATGGGACAATTACTGTGCCAACCGAAGAGCTTTTCTCATTTTCTATTCACGTATTTGGACTGGGAAGCCTCTGAGATGAGACCTTGTTCATCCCTGGTTCCAGGCACACTGTGTGGCACACAGCAGCACGCAGCAACCATCGTGTTCCGTTTTTGTTTTTTTTTCTTTCAGTTTTTGCTATAGGGCACATCTGCTCAGTGGAGAGACAGAGAGAGGGAAAGTGAGACATCACCCCCCAGGAGAGATGGTCACACTACAATCCCTTCTCCATTCTCCTCTTGGGGTTTTGGGCACGCACGCACATGCACCCAGTATGACTCTCAAGCCACAAGGTCCAGGACTCCAACTGCAAATGCCACCTGCTGGTCCCATTTCTTTCTTTCTTTCTTTCTTTTTTTTTTTTAATTTTAAAGATTTATTTCTTCCATGAGAGAAACAGAGAGATAGGCACCCCCAAATGAGTCTTCACAGCACGATCCACACCCAGTCTCAGCAGGCCCGAACTACTAGTGGGCTTACAGACTCAGGACTTTTCCCCTGTGGGTTCAGCTGGCCCCTCACTAACTACGTCTTGAATGAACAAGGAACCCCAGTGAGCAGGAGGGCAACTGCTACCAAAACACATCGTTCTTGCCATAAGACAGCAAACGAGATCAACGACCTGGTTGGTGGAGATTCTGGGGGTACTGCGGTTCATCCCTGAGCACCCTGGCTGACCCAGAGGGGTTCAGAGGGGTTTCTTGTGTCACTGAGTTAGGCAGAAGTGGCAGAGGCCCCAGGAGAGAACATGGGAATGCAGCCAGGAGACGTAGTGACGCCCAGGCAGAGAAAACAACAAATAGGACGGGGACAACTGATGACCCTAAAGCACCTAACTGGTGGTGCTAGCCAGGCCCATGCAACCCCCCAGAGGGCCCTGCCTCCACACAGCACATGTCGGGGAGGCCACAGCAAGGCCAGGCAGGGTGAGGGGCACTGGGGTACTCACTGCAGGCTGATGTGAGGGGGCAGCTTGAAGGAATTTTTCAGAACGTGCAGTTGCTGGACCTTCCCCGGCTGCCCTGCGTGAATAGCCCCAGTGATCTCAAAGGCCCAGGTGTCCCTCTCCTCTCGAGAGCAGGCCTCCAGGAAGTACTCTGTAGATGTTCGTGTCTTCAGCTTAATGAGGAGCTGTGGAAGGAGACAGACAGTCAGGCTGGCACTCAGACAGAACAGGCAAGAACAACAAAAAAAGAGCCACAGTGACCTGGGAGACAGCGTTGTACAGCAACCATCCAGCGCCCCGGCCCCGTGACCGTAGTCCCAGGTAGTCCTAAAAGATTCACTCTGCCCTCCACTGACAGGGAGCTCACGGCCTCATAAGGCAGCCTCACTCTTCTGGACGGATCAGTTAATGTAGGGACTGCTCCTAGACACTGGTTCCAATTCTTCCTGCCAGAACCACATGAACGAAGTCTCACCCCCTCCAACAGCCCCTACGCTGAAGTAGGAAATGCTCAGCCTTTAAAGCCAGGCTGACCTGGATGCAAATCTCAGTTTGGCCACTTAGCTGTGGGTGCCTGGGCACGGTAGGAATCTCCCTGAGCCTCGGTTTCTGCATCTGTGATCACAGATTATTAATGCCTACATCAAAGGAACGGTTGGTTATTCTCCCTTTGATCCTCCTTTTTCCAGTCTAAGCATTTCCAAGTCTTTCTTTATGATAGAGTGGGCACATGCATGTGAGAAGGAGTGAGAGAGGCACCCTTGACAGGGTCATCACACCACAGTCCTCCTTCCCAGCCCTCTAGCTCCTTGGATCCTGGGTACCTGCCTGTGCACTGGCATGTTTCCAAGTCAACTAAAAGATCCCAACCTGGGCTGGCCAAATGGCTCCCAGTTTACCAGACCATCACACATTCACACAGTCTTTCACACATTCCTCTACAAATGGGGAATACGCTTCAGCTTCAGCTCCTTCTCGGTCAGTTCATTTTCTGCCAAACGTTCTACACTTGGTCAACATTCTCATGAAATGGCACCCAAGTACGGAACACTCAGGAAAAGCCAGGGCTGTGGGCACTGGCGCAGCCTGGGATCACATTTGTTGTGGGGGCCACCAGGCCTGTGGGCTCAGACTGGGTGCCATCAGCAGAAGTCTTTTTTATGAAGGCCACTTCTCTGGCCTTTAGAATGTGCATTTAGGGACTTGGGGGACCAACTGTAGGATTTGACATTCTGACCCTATTAAATGTCACCTGAGTAGATTGGGTCTACTATTTCTACTGGACAATAGAAGCATTCAGTTTCATTCTGAGTCCATTTTACAAAGTATCAGCTGTCAACTTGTTCAGCTTGCTAACTGAATCAACATCTTCCTTCTAAACTAATGGCAAGAATGGGACCAGCAGTTGGTGTAATGGCTATGTCGCTGGATTCCCACGTAGTAGACCACAGTTCAAGTCCCGGACCCGGTGGCTTAAACTCACGCTGGGCGCGTGTGCGTGCGTGCCCGAGATCCCAAGAGGAGAACGGAGGAGAAGGGATTGCGGCGTGGCCATCCCCCCTGGAGGGTGATTCCTCGCTTTCTATCTTTCTGTCTCTGTCTGTCTGGCGAGCGCACGTGCCCTATAGCAAAAACCTCTCCAAGAAAGAAAGAAAGAAAGAAAGAAGATGTAAACTAATGGCAAGAATAGTGAAGACAATGTGGCTGGCTCACGGTCCCAAAGAATACCACCAAATTGCTCCTCCAAATTAACATCACCAACATCGTGGAAGAACAGAATTCAACTGCTTTCTGAACTTGTACTGTCAGTCTACAGTCCACCATGTTTGGTTGGTTGTTTAGTTTAGAGAGAGATTTTTGCTATAGTGTGTGTGTGCTTGCTGGAGAAACAGAGACAGAGAGACAGAAAGCCAGAAATCACCTTCCCAGGGGGGATGGCCATGCCATAATCCCTTCTCCTCTATTCTCCTCTCCGGATTTTGGGCATGCATGCACACACACTTGGTATGAGTTTTAAACTGCCGGATCTGAGACTCAAACCACAGTCTATTATGTGAGAGTCCAGCAACATACCCATCACACCATCTGCTAGTCCCTACAGTTCACTATGTTAATGAAAAAAAATTTCAGGGCCGACTGATGGTGTGGCAGTTAAGGCAGTTGTATCCCACCTGGCTGGTTGCTCCATTCAATCCCAAACCCAGCCACATGAAAAAACACACCAGGAGCATGTGTTTGTGTGCCCCAAATCCCAAGAAGAGAATGAAGGAGAAGAGACAGTAGATGGCCACTCTCCTCCTGGAAGGGGGGTGCTTTCTCACTTTCTCTTTCTCTCCCTGGCAAGTGCATATACTGTGTAGAAATTAGAAAAAGAAAGAACGAAAGAAAGAAGGGAGGGAGGGAGGGAGGAAGGGACAGGCAGACAGACAATTTCAGGAGAGAGCCAGCCCCCTCGCACAGCAGCTAGGTGCTGTGCAGGAGAACTCACTGTTTGAGCTGTTATTAGTGAGCCATTCTGGTCCTCTTCATCTCTTCCAGACCAAGTACTCATGAATGGAGCAGGTGACAATTTGAGAATTTTATAAAGAAGTAACATGACACTCACAACTCCAATTAGTAAATGTAATCTATTTCCCTTTTTTTTTATCTCTTAGGTTTTTGTCCTCGGGCACATATGCTTGCCCGACAGAGACAGAGGGAGGGAAAGTGAAAAATCACCCCCCGGGGGGGGGGGAATGACCATGCCACAATCCCTTATCTTCCTCTCAGGATTTTGGACACACGCGCACACTATGTGATTTTCAGTCTGCTAGGTCTAAGATGCAAACCATGGTTGGCCATTAAGAGAGTCCAGCTCCTTAACCACCACACCACCTGCTGGCCCTACTTGTTTCCCTTTTCTGAAGCTTAGAGCAAAGTTCTCCAGCCCTTTCTACCAGCTTGCTGCTCTCATGGCCCCTTAGAGATTATTAAAGGGGCAACAGGTCATCAATTCAACTATGAGTTTAGAGGGTTAATTTATTAAGACCTAAAATCTTGAATTCACTTAGGAAACTCAGTCTTCCTCTTAAAGTCATCTCACTTATGTGTAAATCTTTCTTCTTTGTTCAATAGTTATTCAACAGCTATCTGCCAAGCATCTGCTATGTGCCCACTGTGTTCAGTTATAAGATGTTAAGAGGGGGACCAGCAGTTGGCGTAAGGGCTATGTTGCTGGACTCCCATGTAGTTGAGTCCCGGACCCGGTGGCTTAAACTCACACCAGGTGTGTGTGCATGTGTGCCCAAGATCCCAAGAGGAGAATGGAGGAGAAGGGATTGCGGCGTGGCCATCCCCCCTTGGCAGGGGGATGGGGGGGTGATTTCCGCTTTCCGTCTCTCTGTCTCTATTTGGCACACGCTCTATAGCAAAAAAAATAAATTTAAACATTTAAACATTTAAAAAAAGATGTTAAGAGGAGGACAAGGCAGAGTCAGTCTTTTCCCAGGCTTAGCATCCACCAGCATCCTATGGCCCCACAACAGGACACGACCCTGCCTCACTTCTCTCCTTCAGTCTACAGCGGCTCCAGGGCTGCCATGAAGAGAATCAAATGACAGCTCACAGGCGCAGCTTCCCAGGCTGGAATGACATCTGATGCCTCCTCCATTGTGTCTTCAACGTCCACCAAGTCCTGATGACATTTCTTTCATAACACATTCTCACACCTATCCCTTCTTTTTTGCCTTATTTCAAACCTGGGTAATTTTATTAGCTCCTTTTGTTTTCTTGAGGAAATTTTTAAATCATGGAAGACTACAGAGGTTAACATAACAAATGTCTATAAACCTACCACTTAGAAAGTTTTAAAATTGGTCTCAGGGCTTCCAGTCTGTCTTCTGCCCACTGCCAGCATGAAGAGTCAAAGAAAAAGAATGTGGTAAGAAAGAAGAAAATGGCAAGCTCCCATCCGTGTGGACCTAGAAATCTTATTGGTAACTGGGCTTGGTTCCTCACTTTCATCAGTTTCCTTCAACCTATTCTAAAACTCAAAACTTTCCATGGGGGCCAGCCCCATAGCACAATGGCTAGGTGCTGTGCTTAGAGAACTGGATACCACACGGCTGACCATGGTTTGAATTCCAGCCCCAGACGGTTTGAAAAATACAGAGGATATACAAGTGTGCATGCTCCAAGTCCTGACAGGACGGAGAAATGAAGGAAAAAGGACTGAAGCATCACCAAGCCACACTGGGGAACTCTCTTTCCTCTCCCTATCCATCTCCCCATCCTACCTGTCATGCGTGCATATAAAGAGAAAATCTTCAATGGCTTCTTATTGCCTCCATCTGCCCCCAACTGCCCCCAGTCAATCTCCCATCACTCCTTTAGTGAACATTCTCCTTTGACCCCACTAGCAATCCCCATTCTCAAAATCCATCCCTAAGTCTGTGCACTCTCTTTTTAAAAAATCATCAGAAGGCACATATGCTTGCTGGAAAAAGGAGAGAGAGAAAGTGAGAAAGCACCCTCTATGGGGAATGGTCACACCATAATCCCTCCTCCTGTTTCTCCCTCCTTTTGAGATTTTGGACACACACACAGTATGTTTCAAGCCACTAGGTCTGGGACTCAAAAGCACAGTCAGCCCTGTGGGGTCCAGCCACCTTAACCAGCGCATCACGAGCTGGCCTCTTCTGACTTTTACTCAAAACCTTCTCCCTGCTCTCTCCTCTTTCCATCTTTTCCCAAATCTTGATTCCCCAACCATACCTGATCCAGATGGGTCATCTTCTCTTCGGAAATAGTGTTTTCTGTGGCTCGTGGTATTTGTACCATCATGTGGAACGCCAGTGCTTTCTGATTAAACACTTGCTTCCTTAATAAGATTATTAACTTTATGAAGAAATAATTCTTAGCATTCTCTTCCTTGGCTCTCCCATGCCTACCAAATTTCTTGGCACATTGTGGGCCCTCAATAAAAGATTCATTGACATACTTTTTTGATGGTACGGCTGAAACTATCCTGATTCTGGAACATGCACCCCAGGGGATAAAAGTCTCACCATTCTGGGCCCCAAAACAGCAGACATGACCTCTATTTGCATAGTGCCTGCCTCCCAGCCTGCAAAGTGTCTAACGATACCTTTACCTTCCCGATGCTCATCCCAACCTTGTGAGAGACTCAGGCGCTGTTCTTTTACCCCTTTTATAGGTGATGAACAAAGGCTCAGAGGGGCTTAAGTACTTGCCCAAGGCCACATGCCTCATGGTGGAGTCAGGATTTGAATCCAAGCTCTTCAATGAGAACTCTGAACTCTTCCCATTATCCACACCACCTTCTCCAAAGAAGCCACAGGTGGGGAGGGTCCAGGTCAGGAGGGCTTTCACTTACAGGGCGGTTTTCATACTCCAGGCAGGGGCAGGTGATGGTGCAGCCATCCAAGAGGATCTGGCCCTTGGGAGGGGTCACCTTCTGACCCCCCTGAAGCTTGTAGTACAGCAGCGTGTTCTGTCGAAGGACGAACCATCGGACCTTCCAGTTGTGGACAAGGTGGCCCTACAGACAGGGAGGAGAGCTCTGAGCCAGGTGGTTGTGAGAGGGTACCATGTTCCGGGAGAGGCAGGGCATAGCACAGGCCAGCAGGCTGTACCGTGAGAACAACTCCCCACCGAGGGAGAGAACAGTACTTTTGTCTTGATGTCTATCATCTCGTTTGAATATACAGCAGAGACCTTTGGTTCTCACTTTGTCTTTCTGCTTGTTATAAACCAAAAAAAAAAAAGGAAGAAAGGGGGAAAAAAGCTACAAAGAGAAAGGAAATCACTCACCTGTAAACCTACTGCTAGGAGGTAGCCATTGTTAACATTATATATTTCCTTCCAGTCTGTAATTGAGACCATTTTACATACAGTTTTGAGTTTCTGTTTTGTTCAGCCTTTCTGAGCATCTTCGCACACCTTTAAATTTCTTTAAAACCTCTGTTTTAATGACCACCACGTGGATGCACAATTTGCTTGCCAGTCTCCTGCTGTTTGTAACTGAGGTGATTTAATTTTTCTCACTATTAAAAATAATTCTGCAATAGGGAACCAGCAGTTAGCGTAATGGCTATGTCGCTGGACTCCCACGTAGTCGACCGTGGTTCGCGTCCCGAACCTGGTGGCTTAAAACTCACGCCGGGCACGTGTGCATGCATGCCCAAGATCCCGAGAGGAGAATGGAGGAGAAGGGATTGCGGCGTGACCATCCCCCCTGGGGGGTGATTTCTCACTTTCTGTCTCTATGCCTCTCTCTGTCTGGCTGGCGAGTGCACGTGCCCTATAGCGAAAAACCTCTCCAAATAATAATAATAATTCTGCAATCAATAGCCTTACATGTGAGGTTTTTTTTTTTTTTTTGGAGAGATTTTTTTAGTTTTGATCTGTATCTCTGAACTTTTTCCATAGACTATTTCTAAAAAGAAGATTACTAGTCAAAAGATGTGGGCAATTTGCAAAGTGGAAACCACAAATCTCTGCCAGGGCTGGGGTCCCAGTAATCTCACCTAGCCGATGTGGCAGGCCTGAAAGGGAGAGTAGTTTTAGGGTTCTCGGGGGCCACAGAACCAATGGAGGTGAAGACAGAAACCTGTTTCCAAAACAGAGCAATAGATTGGTGGGGGGCGGGGGGAGGGTTGTCTGCCGAAGGATCAGGAAGGAACGAGTTTGGTTTAAACACAGGGAGCACCTTGTTGGCATATTTCCAAGCAGAGTCCAATTTGGGGCTAGATTCTAACCAAGAGAGATGTACTTTATCTGAATCAAAGAACATTTTCCTAATTCATTTATTTCCCTACCTAGCATTTATTAATACCAAACGCTCCTTCGGTGCTCATATCTGTGGTCCTGGATTCTACCCCTCACTCGGTATGCACTGGAGCTGTGAGGGGGCACCAAAGTTCTTTGTGCACATGGCTGCACTTTGTGGGCACTGACCCGAGCCCAGACGGAACTCACATGGCAACTAAGTAAAACAAATGATGAAGTTAACCTAAGAGTTTATTTTATTCATATTATTTAACTTGCCAAAGGGCACGTATGGGAGAAGTGAGAAGAGAGAGGGGAAAAGAGAGAGGGGAGAGGAAGAAGGAGAGGGCAGAGGGGAGAAGGGCTCTCCTATGGCGAATGGTTACACCGCAACCCCTTCCACTCCATTTCTCTCTCCTTTTTGGGATTTTGGGCATGCACACACATGTGCTCGTTATGTTTTTCAAGCCACTGGGTCCGGGACTCAAACCACACAACCACTCATGTGGGATCCAGTCACTTTAATCACCATGCCACCGGCTGGCCCTTTTTAAATGCTTTATAATTGCCAGAAGGTGCATGTGCTCATGAGAAAGATAAAGGAGTGAAAGGAAGGAGGCACCTCCCACTGGCTGTGGTGATACCCCTTCCCTGCTCCATTTCTCCATCCTGCTGGGATTCTGGGCATGGATGCCAGTGTGTTTCAGGCTGGGATTTGAATTGCAGTCGGTCCTGTGGGATCTGGCTCTCTTTAACCACTAGGCTATGGGGCTGGCCCTGGTGTGAGTTTATTGGTAGGTCTCAGGGTTATTACAACAAATGATAATTACATGGTTCGCACAAGAGGACTCACCCAGCCCAGCTGAATTTTGCATTTTTACTCTCTTTGTTGTCATTTGGAACCTGAATGTGGCCTGATACAGAAATAAGGATTTGGATCTACTCCTCAGCTCCCCGGGTTTCTCTACCGTTCTCCACATGGCCCCGTCTCAGGTCCAGGTCTGAGACCACCACTGCGGGAGTCCTGGGGCAGCTCTAGCAGGGCGCTGGGTGCTTAAGAATCCAGGGCAGGAAACTGCAGGCATGTAAAGCTGTGGCTGGTCAGGGAGAGAAGGACCGGGTCTCCGCTGATGGTGGGGGCTGACGGCAGTAGAGAAGAGGAAAGGGCAAAATCTTCAACTTTTCTTTTTTTCAGAGAGATTTTTGCTATAAGGTGGGTGCACTCACCGGAGAGACAGAGAGATGGAACGCAATAAATCCCCCACACACACACCCCAGGAGGGATGGCCACACCACAATCCCTTCTCCATTCTTCTCTCTGGATTTTGGATTTTGAGTGCGCACACACACACACACACACACACACACACACACACACACCCAGCATGAGCTTTAAGCCGCTGGGTCTGAGATTTGAACCATGATTAACTGCATGGGAGTCCAGCAATGTAACCAATATGCCATCTGCTGGTCCCCCAAAACCTTCGACTAAATCAGGTGTATGGACTGAACTGGGTGCTCCAAAATACATGTTTCCTATGTTGATGCCCTAATCCCAGTACGACAGTTCCCCTACATGTGGCTTCACTCCCCACTGCTTCAGTTACCTGCAGTCGACTGTGACACACAAATATTACACAGAAATTTCAGAAATAAACAAATCCTAAGTTTTAAATTGTGCACCATTCTGAGTAGTGCCATGAAATCTCACAGTTCTGCCTAGTCCTGCTGGACATGAGAATCATCCCTTAATCCAGTGTATCCAGAACCTCCTATCAGCCAATTAGTAGCCACTTAGTTATCAGATTAAAAACAATAAATATGGGTCAGGGTGGTGGCACAGTGGTAGCATACTGGGCACATATAGGGAAGGTCCTGGGCTCGAGTCCTGGAATCTCCCTCAGCACACCAGGTGTGTGCATATGTGCCTGTGATCCAGGTCAGCATGAAGACCCTGTTGTGAGTGCCCCCCACCATTGAGTAAACATTTTTTAAAAAATTGAGAGTGATCATAACCCTTTTTAAAAAGGGAAACATAGTATTTATATTACTATCCAGTTTTATGCATCCACCAAGCATCCTGGAAAGTACTTCTGATGGATAAACAGAAACTACTGAATCTCAAAACGTAACTATATTCAGAGAAAGGACATTGAAAGAGGCAATTATGTTACATGTAGTCATTATGTAGGGCTCTAATTCAGTCTGACTGGTGTCCTTGTAGGAGATACAGCTGCACAGAGACACTGGGAGTGTGTCCACATGGAGGAAAGACCACGTGAGGAAAATCAGAAGGTGGCCATCTGCAAGTCTAGGAGAGACATTTCAAAGAAATCAAACCTGCCGACACCTTGACTTCTAGCCTCCGAGACTATAAGAAATAAATCTGTTACTTAACCTCCTACCTGTGACACTCTGTTACGGCAGCCTTCACACACTAATACAACGGGGTGGGGGGGGTTGGAAGGGGCTCCAGATGTGGGGGAGAAAAATGTAACCAACTGTTGGTGAGCAGAAAAAAAACAGAGGTGTTGAACTTTCCTAAATATAATGTTACATGTCCCATAATCCTTGCACACAGAACTGGTAGTGGTCAAGTCTCTGCCAGTCCTGTGCAGGAGGATTAAGGAATATTTGATGGCAGCCAAACATGGGGAAATGGGAACTTTTGGTAAGGACAGCAGTGGAGGAACAGCCTCTTCTGACACTCAAACCCTAGAGTTAGCAGGGACATGTGGCAAGCAGTGACAGCAGGGATGTCGCCAATAGTCCCAGTGGTACTGTGGGAGGCTTTCACTTGGCTCTGCCATCTCTGAATGCATGGCATCCCAGCCTAGTTCTCTGGCCCCCAGTATTCCTGAACCATGGAATAGCCTCTGTGAACCCCTTCTGTTCAAGTTCACCGGAGTAGATTGTATAATGAGTAACTAAGAATCCTGACTGAGTGCAAAGGAGAGAAGTCTGAGGAGGAAAAAAAATCAATGAGAAAGAATTTACTATGGAGATAGAAAATTCAAAGATGCTGGTCCCCCTTGTAAATCCTTAGACCTAATCATGTTGCTTCAGGGATCTGTGCTACGTAAATACTTCAGAATACGGAAGAGGTTTTATGTATTGAGATACTTACAGGAAGATTATACATAATAGTGAAAACATGGAAAATAATCTAAATGTACAGCAATGGGGCCTCGTGTGGCTGCAGTAAGGGATTCTGGTCCTAACGAGCGGTGGGCCACCACTGGAGTCTTCAAGGCCAGACTCATCAGTGGCAATGGTCTTTGACATGGGCAAAGTTTTACTTATGTCACTTTGAATATTGTCTATAATAACTCCAGCAGTATTTTAGAAAGTATTTCTAAGTATTTAATATTTCTAAGTATCTCCAGTATTTTTTTTTAACAATACTCAAGTATTTCTAACATTGTAGAAAATTTCTGGAAGGACAGAGCGCTGGCAGGTGGTGTGTTTAAGGGCACTGGACTCCCACATGGTCAACTGCGGTTCAAGTCCCAGACCTGGCAGCTTGCTTTCTTGCTTTCTCTCTCTCTCTCCCCCTCCCCCTCTCCCTCTCTCTCTCTGGTCAAATTTAAATAAATAAATAAAGTAAAATTAAATAAGTCTTTTTTTTTTTTTTTTTTTTTTGCCATAGGGGTG